TCTAATGAGCTTTGTATGAGAAAGCTAATACAGTACTGAGAACCTTTCTAGTTTCCCATTAAAGCACCATTAATCTCTCTATATAAAAGATCTGGGCAAGGCAAGAGGTTAACTTCAAGCACTCCAGAAAAAGGACAGTTAGAGAGACTTACCAACAAGTCACAGTAATGAGAGAAGTATTTTGTAAGCTGTTTAAAGATAAATCACACTAAGCTAAACAACTGTCTGGAAGTGACAAACACCCAAGCACTTCTTTTGTTACTCAACATTTAATTAACCCTAGTCACAGGCTCTGTAAGTTCATGCTCAAAAGCAAGAGAAATTGAGTGGACAGGGCAAACTCTTCTCTTGTCTCTGATGAAAGCTATACAAAAATTCTACTTCTCACAGGTACTAGGCTGAGAAATTCCTGAAAGTTGCAAGGACACCTGGGTGACAGACTAAAGTATAGTTAATGCACAAAGTAAAGAGCCTTCCCTTGTTTTTCAGAGGAAAAAAAAGCTTCAGCAATATCTAGGTTTTAGAAGAATTCAGACTCTCAAAATTGAAGAGGACCCTAATGGAGAAGGAAGGATAGAATCGGGTATTTTCACCTACCTAAGGCCACCATATAACCTTCAAAGTTGTCATTGCTGATAAGGTTCCAGGTTCCACTGAAATCCACAGGCATTGCCAAACTGGGGAAAGCAGATGCAGCCAACCTCTGACCAAAATGCAAAAATGAAGTAGTTTTCCAACCAGGCCTTATATAAGGAAACTGTGGGTGGGATGACATCCCAGAGCCTTTCTGATGGAGGGGAAGGGTACAATTGCTGAGCCAATAGGTGAGAGGGTATTTGTGGATCGGCATCTGCTGCCTTGGAGGGAAAAGTTCACAGTTTCTGAAATCTTTGTGTGGAGCAAATGTTAATAGCCCAAGAGTCACGATGCAAACCAAAAAGTGGTTTAAACTGTGTCCATCTTGTAAGCTTTAAAGGGAACCATGGACACATGTTTTCATTACTAAAATGCTCTGCATATGCATTAGATCTGTGGCTTTATGATCTGAAATCTCCACATTCGTTGAAAAAGTGATCTACCCACTGTAAATATATGCTGTATTTAAACAAACATGAATTGAGTTAAACTGTGGAAGGTATTGTACCAGCAAATTTTAAAGCAGTACCTATGACACAGTAATGGAGATAAGTATTATATCTTGGTGGTGTATGTCTGGAGTGAATAGTAGACAGCGTTGTTGTCCGGTGGTTATAAAAGAGGAAAGGGAAAGACAAATCTTATTTGTGCATGTTATTCTCTGATGTGATTCAACACAGCTCTAGTGTGCCACAGTTTACATTTGTGTTCTGGTTTCTTTAATGTTATTAGTTATATATCCTGGTTAGATGAACATACATAGGCAAAATTCTCTGTTTTATCAGATGCCTTACCAGCCAGAAAGTTTGTGTAACAGCGAGGCATGAGACAGCAGACCCAGAGGCCTGAGCTGTGTTCCCAGTGCTGCAGCTCTGTATTGACCAGTTTTCCTAGATGGGAGAGAGGATGAATACCTGTTCTTGCAATCCACTTTCAATTCCAAAAAATAGCCAGTAACAATAACAAATTCAAAAAGTACTCTCGTGTACATAGAAGATGTTGCTCCCCCTTTTGCTTTTTATTCGTGACACAAACAGTAAAGGAGACATGACACAGAAGTTATTTCCACTGATGCTTTATTAGATGCAATACATTGTGGCAGGGAATATAAGGAGTAGGGCACAGGATGCAGCAGGTAAAGTGCAGGGTCGGACTTCATCTTCAGCAAAGAAATGGAAGAAATCTCTTAAGTGATGCCCCAGCAATGTGTTTTGAAAAGTGAATCAAGAATGTTTGACTTTGAAGTGAACGGATATATAAGGAATTTGGAAGTGAGATTTTATTTCCTTTAGAAGGTACATAATTCTCCAATCTCTTGCAGTTGATCCATCTGTGGTTACTTTTTACAAACTGTATGCCTTATTTTTACAATTTACCAAGTGAGAAATACAAATTTAATAATCCTGAACAACTAGCCACTCTAGAATTGCTAAGTACAGGAGACCTAGATAACTCTGTACCTCAGTTCCCTCATCGGTAAAATAGGGAAAACAATCATCCCCGAAGTCTCACATTTTGAGCATTAGCTTAATCCCAAATTTTAAGAGGTCAGCTAGGACAGTAATGAGCACTACAGTGAAGGCTAAATTAAATGAAAAATGCAAAATGGATGGGCAAGAGATATCTTAACTGTGTTGCTGCCACAGTAGAAAGGGAATTTAATATTCTGAATCTTGAATGAGGATAGATACTACATTTATCTATTTTCTGACTTGGCTGAATCAAAATATAATTTGCAGAGAAAATTAAGTTTCCCTGAACATTAGCTACATTTTTGGAGCTGACACTTTGACCTAAATGACTCACAGAATCATGCGATTAGGAAATTAGGACGTCAAACTTGTTTCCTGTTTGCAGATGGATATTGTTCTCTAACCGATACTAAACTAGGAATGGCACAGAGAAATGCAGATTGTTTCCCCTGGACTCAAATAGTAACATTTCACCCAGAATTTGTTGCTACAAGGTTATGGTAGTAAAGCACTGTTGCAATACTACTGACTCTTCCAAGTAAAAAGAAGTCAGTACTTGGCTAAGACTTGTGTAAAAGCCCGGATATAGCATTTTAATTGAAAATTAAGATTAGGCAGATTGTTTGGGATGTGGTGGTGCTTTCTGTAAATCAGTACTTAACCTCAAACTGAGATTTATAAAGGGCACAGGGTTACTATTTCAAGGTTCAGCCAAAGAATTGCCTATGGACCCTTTTTATAAGAACTACCGAGTGCCCTGGCCACAAAATTCCCAATTTTGTGTAAAGATTTTTTTTCCATCTTAATTGCTGTGTAGCACTGAGCATCTCCCATATTCCATTAAGGATGTGTCCTCATTACAGAAGTAAAGTGGTTCCTGCTGCTGTTGCAGTATTTTTGAAATCTTTTGAGTCTGAATTGCACGTGTGGTGTAAGGGCTCTATGTTCTCTTAAAAGACCGATGTAAAACCTCATTTTTTGTTTGTGTAACATTTGTGAGTGCATTGTAACTTTTATAAAGCTCAGTGAACTACACTATTCACAAAGCTGACATTTTCAAGTATATAGATTCTGTTTCAGATCTAGCCCACTCTTGAAAATGATACCTAACATTTTTGAATATGCCACATCCCTGACTGTGATGCTGATATTTAGAACTGATTGGAACAGGAGACTGTCAGTGTGCGGTTACTTCTGGTGTTGTGACAGGCAGGTTTCTGAATCCCGGTAGTAAAACAAAAGATCCACATTCAGCACTCAGTGTAATTTTTGGACAATGTTGTTTAGTATAAAGAAATTTGTACTGACACCATTCTACCTACTTAAATATCATGCAGTTATCAGATATGGTTAATAACTGAATGACTAAAATTAGCATATTACATTCAATTCATTTTATTGAAAGACCCACCACACATAACTACATTAAAACGCAGTGAAATATAACTGTTTGAAGACCAAAGCTTTGTAAGACAACCCATTGAATTTGCAGTTTCTCTAGGTTTACACAAAGTGCACCACCACGCACCAGCATCAATATTTAGAATAAACTTAAAGTGCAGTTTTGCTCTGAAAAGTGACCACATAAATAGGGTGCTTTCCCCTTAGAAAGATCTGCTCTGTTTATTCAGGAGCACACTGGTTGTCTTGAGTGCCGAAAACCAAATCTTTCTTGCTCTCTATTCTTGTCAGTCATAGACAGAGAGCAAAAGAGAAAGGGATTTGGATTTGTTGATCTGAAAAATGTGAACAGAGTGATCTTGTGGAGATAGTAGAAAAAAGCTGTTGACCCATTCAGTAGCATCTTGGAAACCACGACATTTTTAATAAGGCACAAAATCCAAACAGAAATGGGATGATGGCAAATAAAGGGAGGTAGTATTCCATCACCATGACATTCACAGCGCCTCTCTAGCTTATATTCACATAATACAATACACTGTTAGATTCAAAACCTGATTTTCTAGCAAAGAAAAACATTTCACTTATGTTCAATCTTAATATCTTACCATTTTTTTCTCAACTCCAGTTACAGAAGACAACACTGGCTAAATACATTTGGCTCAAAAGTAAAAGCTCATTTATTATTTGAATATAGGGATGACGGTCTGAGAAACAGTGCAATGACACTATTATTAATTTCTATCCATGAAACCAATGGCTGTAAACAACTTTCTGAAGCAATGCTGTCCTTCCATGAGAAATGGTGCTGAGCTTAATGTACAGGTCTGGAAAAATAAATGGAAAAGTAAAGCACAAGGCATTTTTGGGAGCAAACTGCATGACAGCAGATAAACTGGCTGCCTATTCGAAAGGCAGGCAAATCAAAGCACAGGGTACCTAGCACCACTTCAGCCAGGAGTAAATTTTTCCCTTCCAGGACAGAACTAAATAATTTCTTTGAGGTACACCAAATGTTGCCTTTTTTTTTTAAATTGGTTACGTAGATCTACTACATGTAGATCTATGGGACATTTTGAAATTAAATGGCTTTGTCTGGTAAGACACTGTACGTTATTAAAAATATTGGTGCTAGTACTTTATAAATAGCAGTCAGAGCAGTCTGAGTTAAAACTAATCAGAACATTTTCATGTGTTTTGTTAATCAGTAATTCTTATATGCAAGTGTGAATTCTGATACTTAGTTCACTGCACTGTGACACAATGTTTAAACATGAAAATCTTATTGTTGGATTTTAAAAAGATTGCGTAGGTCCAATTATTGAGTGCACCAAACCTCAACAGAAACCATGTATGTACTAAAGCCACAGAATTACTCCACTATTTACTTAAACCAAACAAGAAAAAAATCAATCCCCAAAAGCCACATTTTCCTGTACTTAACTGTAGCTTTATTTCACGGCAGAAAGTACCTTAGTTGTACAGTGCCTGTTAGTTATTGGAATCACTCGTGTATTTCTGTAAGGGAGCCAAGACAACCCCAGCATTCCTGTCTTCACTCTCTGGACTATACAGATTATTTTTCTCTATGTATGCTTGAACTACATCAGGCACTAGGTAACGAATGCTCTGGCCCCTCCGCAGCGCTCTCCTAATCTTGGTGGAGGAAATGTCATTTGTGATCCATTCTTCCACAAGGTGAATGTTATTCTTATGTCTCCACAAAACATCGGATTCATAGATGAATTTCTGAACGTTGTTTCCAGCCCTACTGATGCACACAAGGCCATGATTTTCCACAATTTCAGTGATGTCCTCCTGTTTCCACAGATTTGGGATCCCAAAAGATTCCAGAATGTCACTTCCACAAAGCAGTTTAAGCTGTGGGACACCTTAAAAAGAAAAATAAGTGAGAAACAGGGCTCGGTTTAGGCCATCAGATTTCAGCTAACTTGATGAGGACATTTAATATCTAGGCTACCTCTCTGTATCTTTGATTAAGATGAGACAATGGAATGACATAGAAAAAGATTCAAATCATATAATTTATTATTAGAAGCTTCAATACAGAATTTTTCTAAAAAAAAAGGTTATGGGAATCCCTTCTTTCAAAAGGACTGGAAAATAAATTCTAATATGCTCATTTAGCCTTGGGGTGAATCAGGCACTGTGACCATCAAAGTAAAAGAAAATACAGAGAAAATTCCAAAATAGCTAAGTATGAAAGGACACTGCAATGCTATTTAATGCTATTTAATGCTTCATCTGACATGGCACAGAGCTACAGAACAGGAGCTACCTTTTAAGGGACAGGGGCCAGAGGGGATTATGTAAAAGAAAAGGAAATACGCCCTCCCAAAAAAACCCCCATAGACTGTGTGACCTGACTTCAGGGAACTCTTCCATGCTATGTTTTATAGGGAATCCAGAGAAGCATGCAGATAGAAACCACCTTCAAGTCATGGAAGCAAAACTGAGAGTGCTACAGATCTGCAGCTTCCAGTATTGTCACAAGGTGGTAGGAATGTAGTAAAACATCGATCAACACAACATGAAAAAAGCCAGCCTCGTGCTGTTGGTCTCTTCTTTGAACACATTTACTTTAAAACACTATCAATTAAACAGTAGAATTTGGAAAGGTTCAAGGGAAGAGGTTAAGCAGAAGTCAAGATTTGCTAATAAATGGTCATTATGCAAGGCCATTCAAATTCTGTATGAATACAAATACTTGTACATGTTAAGCTAAAGAATTGAGATCTAAAAACAACAAGCAAAATAAACGCTACCTAAAATTACAAAACCAAGCTATGTCCATTTTATGAAGTTTTAATTTACCATTGAAAATGATCCTTTATGCAGATACGTTTTGAATTTCAGGACTTAATCCTGTCCTTTCTTTCTTCAGCAACTTTAAAATGATCCGAAATTCTGAGCTGCAAGTACAGTTTAGCAAAGTTCTGTAGGTAAAATGGATAGCTCAGACCTTTTTCAGTTCAAATTCCTATTATCTTGAGTATTTTTCATGTCCTCTATGTTTCATTCTTACAGCTGTCTTGTTACGAAGCCTACTGCTTTATGCTGTGGCATCTCAGCGAATAAACTTACTCGGTGAAATCAGAATGAAGAACAAGCATCAAAAAAAGCTCCCCATCAGTGCAATTCCTTTGAAAAAGTAAGCATTATAAAGCATTTAATTTGCAAAGATACTTAACTTTTTATATCTGGACTCTGATTTTTCTTTTTAACGGGGTCATGCCTATTTGGCTCCTGTTTCCTCTTCCGTCCTGGCTTTGTTAAAGGTATAGCATTCTGCAGACTATTAGTGGGATCAGGAGATAAAAGCTTTTGATGATGGTACCTGCAAAACAGATCTATTTTAGGTATTTTAAAGATGTAGGAGAATATAGGGAAGAGCAGGGCCTACTAAATAATCTTTCACCACTTCCTCCTGCAGTACTGTCACAGACAATCCATCCAAGAACTGAGCTGCTGGAACAGGGACATATGAGAGCTGGGCCACAAGGTGGTCAAAGCGCAATGATTTCAAAACAACAACTACAAGGTTAGTTTGTTTCTTTTTTAATAAAAATCCTTTGTAAAAAAGAAGCAGCTCAGTGAAGCAGCAGTGACTGAAAGAGTAAAAACACTTAAAATGTAAAAAGATATTCCCTCAAACAGTTCTCATGCCGGCCTTTAAACACACAAATGAGCAGCATAGCACAATTAGAATCAAATGAGGAAAGCTTGTGTAGCATGTGTCTACCCTATTCCAGTCTCTTGTCCTTCCTCATGAGTACCTTTTCAGCACACATATTGAATAAAGCCTAGGAAACAATGTATCTTAAAAAAATCCTCACAGATTTATTTTTTGTACGTTTATGACTAACGGTGCAATCTTTCATTTACAATGCTCATATAAATAGTACTTCTGACTATGATTTGGGGTTAGCCTGCTAATATTCTAAATTGTTAGTGCTAACACCGTTCCCTATCCTTCTATGGGTTCTTGAGGCTTTTTAGGGTTTGGCTGAAGTATACCTTAAAACTTTCAGTGTTTCCAACCACTCACTCTGGCTGCTTTCCCAATCATCAACTTCCACCCAACCTGAGTCTTCCGTAGCTAGTTTTGCCATAGTTACTCGGTGATTCGCACTGATCAGACCTTTCTTCTTATATGCATCACCTACTGGTGAAATGATGCCTTTGATTACTTTGTATTTTCCTGTGGAAAAAACACAAGAACATGAAAAGTGGTTGAGCAGATGTTACTTCCAGTGTATTGTATTTAAATTATGACATAACCATCTCTAAGAACAGCAATGCCAGCTCTGATAGCCAGCCCAGTGGAAAAGTACAGTACACTTCTGCCATTGTGCAAGGCAGCACAATTAAAGATTTAGTAAGATACATCCAAAAGATATATTTCTGTAAAGAAAAACTATAAAACTCATGCTTTCACTCATTAAAATTAGTAATAAGCAAGACATATGTAAGACTGTTCTCTCATGTATTTGGCCTACGTGATTTTGTGTGATATATACACGCATGCAAGCTTCAATATCTAATTAGTATTTCCAAAAATATCTGTCACTGTCAAACAGGCATTCATATACGTGTTTAAGTGTCAATTTATCAGAGCTGTTTTCCATGCTGTAAGTTACCATCCTACCTGTTTCATGAAAATAGTCTTTGGCCAGCTCAAATAGCCTTAGGTGCATGTTGGTAATGGGATTGAAGGACCCACAGGCCAGCAGGACAACTTCAGTTTTCTTGTCAGGATCTTCCATAGCTGTTCCTCACAGCTACACAGCCAAGTGGAGAATGTTGGTGCTAGTTACCAGCCACTACAAGAAGAGACAAGATTAAAAAATTATTCCTACTTATTTGTGCTGCCAAGCAGCAGAAGATTTCAAGATCAAATTGAACACTATTTTCCTTACATCTGCATCTGGCCTGTGATTGTTCATGTGATACTGCATTATCCAATTTTTAAGAGATTAAAACCACCATCTCTAGTTCTTTCTGGTTATCCCTGAATAGAGGTACAATGCAAGGAGCTGGGACAACGGTGGCATTATGTTGCAGAAAGGAGGGTAATTCTTCTGTAGGGCTTCAGATGAAAAGTGAGTGTGCTAGGAAGAAGATACATGTAACAAATTAATGAACCCAAAATTGTCTTACCCATGTATTATCATAGCGGCTGCAATTCCTTCCTACAGGCAAGAGGAAGCATCTTTAAAAATTAAATCACTTAAAACAGGCTGCTTGCCTAGAAAGAGGACAGCATATTGCCCACGCCAAAGAAAAGCAGCTCATGAGAAAAACTTCATGGTTATTCATCCCGATTGCAGGACAAACTTTATTAGAACTTTGCAGTTTTTTAAGATGCCAATGCCAATCAACTGCCAAGAGTTACATCTGCAGGGAACTTCCTTACAACTTCTTTACTCCTAGTGCTTACAGCGAGGAATAGAACAACCCTATGACAGTTGCCAGGGCTGCTACTTTAAAGCGCAGTGAGTCTTTTCAGCAAAATCTATAGAACTAACATTACATTAACATTACATTAAATTTTGGAGGTGAGAAGCATTAACATTTCTTCATTCGGGATTTCTTTACATTTTACATACTCTCGGTATGTGGGAAGAGAGTGCTATGGAGTAAACATGAAAACAACCAATCTACTTTGTGTTGCAGAAAGTAAGTGGTAGGTATACCAGCGGAACAGATGAAAACAGTATTGAATTTAAAAAAGTTTAGTGAAAGCTGCAATTAAATAGCAGATTTTTTTTCCTCTTTTAAAATACAACAGCACTGTTCCAATTTTGAACTTCAGTTTCAGAAAGCTGCTTAAGAATTGGGGAAAATACAGAAATGTCACTACTCATCTTTTTCAGCTCTACACGGATTTTTGATTCTCGGTGCTCTTTTCTTTCATCAGAATATTCTGGCTTGCCAAGATGGTTTCCCTAGCCTGGCTCTGAACAAATGAAAACCCAAATATGTTATGGGCCGTTCTCCTGCTGTTGCTGTTCAGGAGATGTCCGAGATATCTGTGCTGAGCGCTGAATAATTTGCCATTGATTCTACAGCAACATCCCTGCCTGGAAAAATCCCACAAGGTCACCCTCACGTTCTGTCTCCATTACAAAGAATCTGAGTGATGTTCGCAGCCAGCACAGTGGTGAGATATCACCACAGCAAAATCTTGTAACAGCTACTATGCACTCACATCAAATAACCCTTGAATAAAAGGAAGTCTTGCAAGGCTTCACATTTTGCAAGTGTTAGTACTTTTCTGTGCTTTTAAGAGTTGCATACATTTTCACAGTATTCTTTATTACTGCACAGTAGTTCAGCAATTGAAGGGTTTGGTGTTACTTGGAATGCAGTCCTCACAGGGGCATCAGCTAGAAGAGTTACTATGGGAACAGGCAAGGACAGGAGTTAGACTTGCCTTTGTGATGCACAGAGCCCTACTTTCTCAAGTGACTCATGCTGCAAATTTGAAAAGGGTTGATTTTTCTCTTTTAAGAAAAAGCAAGGGCAAAAGTAGTGGTAAAAAAAAAGATGAAAATATGTAATGTCTTTTCTGGAGTTAGTCAAATGTCCTTTTTCACACTGTTAGCTAATTTTACAGTCTTCAGAAACAGGCAATTATTAATCATAAGCTCACCTTGTAGCGCTCCATATCTGCGTAGAAATTGAGAATAAAATTCAATAGTTTGCACATAACCTCAGCCTCCTAATTTGCATTGACATCCTCTGTCTAGCACTGTTTTCATAGAAAACAGCTGCATGGTTGGAGAGGGGAGGAAGTGACAGTGAGTGAAGTGACCACCACATTACCTTCACTGTTACATCATCCTTACAACCAACAGAGCACTTTCGGATCTGGGATCTGCTTTATATGTTATGACCTTCTGACAGCCCTAATTTTTTGGGAAAAGCCACACAATTTGCACTTCCCAGGAGAGAAAGACTAGGTTCCAGTGATGATTAAAGCCCAGCCACTGCCTGAGCTGTATATGGAGCTATGCCTATTCTTATTGTATAATAACATTCGTAGCTTTGATGAATATAATTTGGCACTGCTTGACACAACTCTAATTATTGCAGTTTGACCCTAAGATCCAAGCTAGCAGCCCAGCTCCCGCTCTGTGGAGATGAACAAGATCCATATGCAGGTGTCTAGTTGCACAAAACTGCAAACAGTCTCGAAATAATTAATGCTATCCTATGCCACATACTAAATGAAGTAATAGCAAAACCTATTTACAGAGGCATAAGAAGGAGAAAGAAAGGAAAATGGCCTTCACTTGAATTTTTTATAAGTGCAGGACATCCTGGATCATTTTCCCTTCTTCAGTAGGAAAAAGGAGCTACCTTGTGATGTAGTCCTTTAGATACAGGCTTATATATAATCTCATCAAGCTTATACATTATCTTACCAGTATTTAGTGTGTACAACTTGCAATCCTGCTAGTGCTTAACTGGATCCGACACGTATTTGCACTAAAAACCCCCAGAGTACGCCTCCAGGAGGTTTTGGGATGGTTCTGAACACCAACCTGCTAGCTTCAGCGGATAAACAGCTGATTATAAGCATGCTTTGGTCAGTCTCATTTATATGTCAGAGAAAAATATGTTTTAAACATGTTTCTGTATCCGGAGCATATAAACACCATTAAATATTAAATTTGGGGTGCGTGGACTGTTGCTGGGAGCCCTCACGTGCCCAGCACACCAGTTCTCACTCCGTTTCAGCCCCCTCTTCCTCGCAGCCCCACACCGCCACA